CCACATGCCAGCCAGCCCTGCCCCCTAGTGGGCTGAGCTGGCCACACACACACATACACACACACACACACACACACACACACACACATAAAATTTAAAAAAAATAAGATACTCAACCATATTTCAATTGCTAATGGGCAACTATTTTGTAGTACAGTGTGCTGCATATGATATTTGACATGTATTTATACTAAAAACATATCTTGTTTATCTGAAATTAGATTTCACCTGGAATCCTGTATTTTATCTGGCCCCCACCTGCCCTGGAGGCTCATCTCCAGGGAAGCCCTGAGCTAGGTTTGGGAGATACTTGTTTGGGAACATTACTGACAAGCCAAGAGCTAGCACTGAGCTACTACAAGCAGGTGTGAATTAAGCTGTATGCATACATAGCTTCCATGTGTCTGTTCATCTGCTTGGGCCTTTATCTTTGACTGAAAGTCTTTATAAACTACACCTGAATACCATGGCATTAATCACAAACCTCCTGAAGTATTTTCATATGGTGCGTAATAAATGCCCATATACTTAGTATTTAAAGGAAGAACTACTCACCACAATATTTAGTTAAAATTACAAAGGGAGTACAAATTAAGCCATCATTTTGTTAAGGTGCCTATTATAAGTCTTAGTTAATTTCTCCGTGTTCTTATACACGTGTTTGTATAACTGTTGTGTCAAGACTTTTTGGTGATAAAGTATTTCAATTAGCTGCTAAAAGAAATACATGGGAGGAGTTGCAACTGATGTAAATCTGGACTAAATACCTATAATCAGAGTTGTTTCTCACCTGAGTCCCTCTTGCTGATGTTAGGTAAGAAGTGGTCCTGATTGCTGGCAATAACTCGCTTAACAGGTTCACATTTGGGTGGTAATCTCATAAAAATAAAATAATGATTCACTTGTACTTTTAAAAAGAAACTGACATTAGATGTAGGCTAGATAAGTTGAACGGTCACTTTGTCACATCTAAAAGTTTCATTTCAAAATTAAGTTTTTTCAGACTCTTTCCACAGGATGGATTTGAGACCAGCTGAGGGACTTCATTGACATTTGTGGATGATGCAGAGGGGTGATTTTTAAAAACTGGAAGTCAGGCTGGGGAGATAGCTCAGCGGTCTAAGCGCTTGGCTGGCAAGTGCAAGGTGCTGAGTTGGATCCCAGATACCTCATGCCATGCCATCCCTGCAGCCCCAGGCATGCCGTGCCAACCCTGAAACCAAGCGTAATAGCACATGCCTGTAAACCCAGTGCTGAGGAGACTGAGACAAGAGGATCACTACGAGTCAAAGCTGCAGAGTGGGACCCTGTACCAAAATTAATAAATAATAAATAACAAAAAAGTGGGAGGCACTTATCTTCTTCTTCACCTACTGCCACACTCCCAGATTTCAGAATAACTAGGTCCCCTCCCTTGGGCAGTACCTCATGGACATAAATGACTAAGAGGAGCCAAAAGGCAGCACAGTCACGAGGCAGTGAGGAGATTATGTGCAGAAATGGCCAGAAAGAGAAGCAGCCTTCGGGTACCAGCTGCCTATTCTGTCCTTGGGTAACTTGTGCAATGATTCTTACTCTTCAACCACCTTCTAACACCATAATCATACCATCATCAGCTTTTTCCTCATAACTTACTTAGCCTCTACTACCTTCTTGCAAAATGTCCTACTATGAGTGTATGGAAACGACCAGAGAATTTTATCCCAATACCTTTCCCCAAGTCACCTTAATATGACATTCTGCAAAATCTATGCACCATATCCTTGTTGCAGAGAAGTAGCTTTTTTTTTAATGGCAAGGCAGCTAATGTCTGTTATTTGTAACTCAAATAAAGATCTTACATAGGAAATCTGAGGTGGCCTTGACAACAGGAAGTTTGAAAAATAAAGTGTACCCCTAAAATCACTCCCATATCTTTTTCTAAGTACCAGCATTTGTAGTGAGCTGCATTACAAGTCTTTTTATTTCATTTATTTATTTATTTTGAGGTTGGGTCTCACTAAATTGCCTGGATGGACTGGAATTTGTGATCTTCCTGCTTCAGCCTCCCTGAATGCTTGGATTACAGGTGTGCACCACCACACTGGATTTGTTCCCATGCCTCTCATAGGTCCTCTTTGCAGGAAATCCCATTTCTTATTCCTCTTAAGCTCTGCTCAGAGGATCTCAACCTTCTCATCTTCTTGCTTCCATCTCCCAAGGAGCTGGGATTATAGGGTTTCCAGTATTGAATTTAAAAGCAAAACTATTCCTTTCCAAACTGCATTTTCTGGGGTGTTCAGAAGAAGTTGACTACATCTACTTAGGATAAAGAAACTTACCTAGGACTGGACAAGGGGACTCTGAACAGGGGAAAGAAACCTCTGGGACCACTAGATTTTTGGTACCATACCTATAGGCCCACTATGGCATGGAAATGATTTGGAGCAGAGCTTTTTTTTTTTTTTTTTTTTGTCATTATGAGAACAACATAGAGTATGCATACACAAACTTTGATTGCATGGAAGCCAAAGATCTGGCATAGCCCCTTGATGTAATCAAAAGATACAAGAATGAGTTGCACACGGCTGCTGATGCCACAAGGCACAGCGTCCTACGGTAAGCCCTTTTTAACACATAGGAGTACACTCTAAAATAACTATGAAAAGAGTATAGCAGAGTGAATACATGTGCCACTAGCAGTCATCTATCATCATTATCAATTACCACCTACTGCTCACGGCTGTCTGCGCTATGCCATCATAGCATGGCAGCACAGCAGGGCTGCTGGCACAGCGGAACCGTAAACACGAGCACCTTTGATGCTCCAGTGTTACAAAGGCTGTGATGTCACTAGGCAACAGGAAATTTTTCATTGCAATCTTTGAGACCACCATGGTCTGTGTGAATGAATCATTTACTGTGCATGACTGTATATACAAATAAACATTAATATATAGTCTTACCTTTTAGATTTCTTATACAAAAGACAATAAACACTATGCACATTCTGTAGCTTGCTGTTTTTGCATAAAATAATCCTGAAGATCACTCCACATTAGCACGTGGAGAACAATTTTTTTCCGTATCTTAGGGAAGGGTCTACAGGGTGTTCAAGGTCTCACTACTAAATCAGACTCCAACTGCTGGGATTACAGGCATGCAGTACCACGCCCAGTCTCAGTCACCATCTCAGAGCACCCTGGGAACAGGGCCGGCACAGCAGATACAGAGAACACTTCTTAAGGGACATAAAGCACTCTTTCTAAGCCCTCACCATCACATACAATGCCGTGGTGAACTTGCCCATAAATTTTTTTGTATCTGCACATGTATATCTGCAGGATAAATTTCTAGAACTGGGACATCACAGAATTTTGATTAAATACCTCTGTTTTAATGCATATCAGAGTGTCCTGTATATGGTTAGTGTTGTCTCATTGTCTTCACTATCTTATGAGCTTTTGGAAGGTATAAAATGTGTTTTAGTTACCCTTGCTTTTATGGTCCTACCATAGTGCCTAGCATGTTAATGCTGAATACAAACTAAATTTCCTGCTTTAACTATCCTTGAGAATGTTAAAGAAACTTCTTCAGTTAAAGACTGAGACTTAGGTATAGGCTGAGTCACTCCCACTCTCGGGTTTCTGTTTAAAGATGAAAAGTGGACTCATAAGGATACAAGAATTGGATGAGGAGTAGAGATTTCAAGGATCAGGGTGTCTCTTCAAAGCCAAGGACTGAGTCAAGGTCAGGTAAATATCTGGGTTAAACCCAGTAGAAAAGTGAGACAGCAGAATGGAGACGAAGTCTTGGGAACTCTGGCTGGTGAAGATCAGCCGTAGTTTCAGAGAATGGCACTTCCAGAGAACCCAGGCCAAAATGGGCAAGAAAAGTCAGTGTATCTCAGAGCTGAATCAGCACAGAGACTGAGATTGGAGAAGGGGGGTGGGGAGACAAGAGGAGGGAGAGGATAGAATGATTTGAAGCAGACAAGGTTTTTTACTCTCACCAGAGCCTGTTCGAATGGCTCCTGGTTTTACCCTGCAGCCTTCACACCCTTGAGGGAAGCTGATAGCAAAGGGTCAGGGGAAACTCAGGCCTGGTCTTGAGTTGCTCATAGCCATACATCCCCAGCCATTTCCCACCCCATCCCAGAGTGGCCCCTGGCATAGCTCTCCTCCCTCCCCCAAGTCACCACTAACCACTGCAGCTGCCACTGGACTGTGCATAGTCAAGTGTGAAGAGATGGATAGCAAGTCTATGGGTCACACACAAAACTCGTGGAAGCCCTTGTCAAAATCCTTCCCTCTCGAAAACTGTCATGGAAGGCTAAATTGGTATATCTTTAGTTCTATCAATAATATGGCAATATTGGGGCTGGTGAGATGGCTCAGTGGTCTAAAGCACCTACTTAGAACAAGCTTAGCAAAGCACAGGGACCCCAGTTCAATCCCCCAGCACCACATGCCAGCCAGCCCCGCCCCCTGGTGGACTGAGCTGGCCACACACACACACACACACACACTCACAAATAAATAAATAAATAAAATTTAAAAAATAATAATAAGCACTAAAAAAATAATAATATGGCAATATTATCTCAAAATTGTAAGTATGTTTTTACTCAGCAGTTCCACTTCAAGGAATTAATTCTTCAACTGTCCTTATAGAAGTATATAGGGCCGGAGAGATAGCTCAGTGGACTTAAGTGCCTCTTTAGGCAAGCTGAGGCAAGCACAGGGACCGTAGTTCGATTCTTGGCACCACATGCCACACCAGCCCCGCCCCCAGGGCACACTGAGAGTCTGGGCATAAAAGTGCACACCTGTAATCCCAGCGCTGGGGAAGCTGAAACAGGAGGATCATCTGGAGTCTGAACTGCACAGTGAGACCCTGCAACAACCAAATACGTTTTCAAAAAAAATACGTAAAAGTGTACACGTTATGAAGCGTTATTTTGAAAAGTAAACATTTAATAAAAATAACCTAAATACCCATGAGCATAGTGAGGCCTTTACCCATAATCCTGTATTATGTGGCACTCCTTGCAACTGCTAGGAGAATGAAACAAACTCACAGATGGAGCACCCAGCAAGCACCAACAAACTTGGCTAAGTGAATAAAAGCAAGCTTAAAAATAGAAAAAATATTGTATAATTTTATTTGTGATTTAAAAGTAAGTATACTTGCATATGAATAAAAAGACTGGTAAAATATGACCAGTAGAGGGCCGGCCAAATAGCTCAGTGGATTAAAGTGCATGCAAGCAGGAACAGGGGCCAAGGGTTCAATCCCCAGACCTGCCATGCTGGCCCTGCCACCAGGGCGTGTTGAGACAGCAGTTGAGACCGGGCGTGGTGGAACACGCCTATAATCCCAGCTCTTGGGAGGCTGTAAACAGGCAGATCACTATGAGTCCAATCTAGTAGTGAGACCCTGAACACCCTGTAGACCTTTCGCTAAAATACAAAAAAAAAAAAAAAAAAAAAATGGCCAATGGTAATGGTCACTATTGTAGATAGGATTGGTGGTACAAGGAAAACGGGAAAAGAGTTTTTAAAAAATCTATATGCTTTCTTATGTTGCTTTTATAATCACAAGTTCACTTGTAACCAAGCTATTATTTTTTAGGTTCTTGCGATAAATAGATTATATATGATTTGGTGGCCATTTTTGACTCAGAATAACTATCACCTTAAAACTCTTTAAAAGGTGGTCTTTATGACTCAATGAAAAGCTATGGTTGACCATTTTGAGAGTCACAAAACTGAGTTTAGCTTTGTGGAATATCCAGTCTATGCAGAAAACTCAGTAAAATCCCCTGATCACAAAATCCATGTGTTGAGCTCTCAGACTGTTGACACAATTGCTACTACTCTTAGTGTCGCCTTTAAAAAACTTCCAATTGTCACTTACCTGAACACACTGAAGGAATGCTTTTTCATTTTATGTTGTGTTTTCTGTGAGATCTCCTATGCAGTGGACTTAGAAATCAAGAAAAAAAAATGTATTATTATATCATACAAGGTCAAAGAGAAGTAAACATGAAAAGATGAGCCATATTATGCAAGTGTCCTGTCGCTAAAGAGGAGACTGCTAGGTACAGACTTACACAGAGTGGCGGGTTCTGATTTAGATTTTCGCATCTTGATAATTGGAGCCATTCAGTCAGTGTCTGTGCCTGATATTGAAGAATGAGAACCTGAGACAAGAAGCGAGAAGATGAGAAAATGTCAAGGCAAGAGACACATTTGGCAGATACAATTTGCAGTCGCCTCAAGGTATGAGCTCTTGTAGCAAGGCTTTTGTGGGGACGCTCAAAGGCAACAGCACATCCTTTAGAACATCATATTCCAGGTCACCTACCTTTTCCAAAACTGCTTGTTGCTACGATGATGATGTCTCTGCTGACTAATTTAGCAAATGTTATGATGTCTGAAAGTTTTAGCAATTTGCCTTTCTGCAGTGCAGGGGAGGAAGCTGAAGGATGTACATGTTTATTTAATTGCCTCATTGCATCATTCCTTTCCTCTGTGAAACAGTATTCTGTGTTTGTAAATGGAGAGAAACATGCATTATTTTTGGTAAGATGACAGGTTCATTTTATAAGACAATTGACAGACATATCAAGCAAACAGATAGTTTATCTTACTGTAATGATAACAGGACTAGCTTAGGGAAGTGAGCTAAACCTGAAATTCATAAAGAACCCTAAGCAATTTTCAAAACCAAAGCATCCCTATCACTTTTAGGGATAGCCCTGAAACCTTTAGAGAGTTTCCACTTTATAGCTTGCTGCTAATCATTCCAGTCCCCAGGATAAAGGGAATTAAAGGTCTGCAAATAAAGAAGAAACAACAAAAATTTAAAAAAACAAAGCTGTAACATAAAAATAATGAGCACCTGTTTTCTCTAGTTGACTTATTACACCAAAGTTCATCTTTCACAAATGTAAAATTGAATATAGCTTCCTATGAAAAAAATCCTTTTTCAAAATAAATAGGTTCTAAACATGTTTAGTGGTTTAATTTCAAATCTATGATTTCGTACAATTAAAATACTGGCCCCAACATTTAAATTTTGATTCTGAAAAATTAATTATTTTGACAACTAATTTGAAGACCGATCCTACTTTGATCCCAATTATTTGAATGGTATTGGTATAAATCCATTTTTAAACTCCATTCTCCAGATAACTTACACATAAATATCCCAAAGTCCACATGATTGAATATCTCTTCAGATACATTTTATGTTAAACTGTTTTCTCCTCTGAGTCACTGATCAACTTTATTATGTGCAGTTTCCACACTACAAGTCTATTTGTGCCAATGTCTTAGCATGAGAGTGTCCTCTCATCAGAGTGCTGGTTAGGTTCCCTAGTGTGAATCACTTATTCAGTTGCTCGCCTGATTATTCACATGTTTTTGAGATTTGTGAAATGTGGCAGATAAACAGGTTTATGCTGTGTACAACTTGGAGGGTAGCCAATGCCTGTCTGCCTATACAGTCTATTTACTCTCCTTCCTCCAATCTCTCTCCCATACAGAGAAGCTGTATTTTAAGACTAAAATCAGTGTCGAATGCAATCCAGTAATGTCACTGCAGAAAACAGCAGGTGCTCATCCACTCATTTGCAGTGATTCTTGCAGTGAAGAAAGTGAATCAATGATTTACCCAATGGACAAAGAAATGTCACAGCGCACATTTGGAAAAATCAAATGCAGGAAAAGAACATTTTCCTTTAAAGGTGCTCTCTAATTTTAGAAAGCAAAACCTCCCACGAGACAGTCACAAATTCTGTTGAAGTGTTCTGGCTGTACCTGCTGTAAGCAATGGCATGTTCCCTCTCTCCCTGCTTCCACTGTTTTATTGCTTTTGTGTTGTACTTCTAAAATAAATATCAATAAATCATTGCAGTTAGATACTCTAATATAGACAGAAATGTACTTGACTCCCTACAGTCATTACAATTGGAGGGGACTCTGATTAGGATGCTTTACTTAATTAAGTGATATCGTCTAAAGAGAGTTCTTCCCTCCATTTTCTGTTTAACAGTCTTATAAAACACCAACAGAGGAAATTCATTCTGTTGTTTGCTTTCCTTATTGTAAATGGTTTCTTCTCATTCATATTTTACAGAAGATGTTGAGTTAATGAAATGGCTAATAAGCCAAAGACTGGCATTCAGCCGTATACAGAGTCTTGTTTAAATCAGCCCAAGTCAGTTAAACTGGACATGTCCCCACCAGTCCCAGAAATACATTTCTTTAGTTTTTTACTTTTACACAACACGTGTGAACAAAAAATTAAGATGATTTAAAAGAAACATGTTTTCTGAAAAAAAATCACACTTCCTCTAGTTTAGATATGGCTCAGGCTCAGTAGACTTTTAAAATCTGTTTCTTCAAGAAAACATTAAAAAATGGGCAAAGAATAAGCAATCCTTAATGCATTAGATGGTATTTGTGAGGCACTTTGATTTTACTGAAAGAAGTCATTAAATTTGGATTACCAATACAAATATGATTATATATGTTTTCTAAATAAAATGTTATTATGTTGCAACTGAACTCATCCATTTATTGTTTGTTTACCTAATGCTCAAACACATGTTTTATTCATCAATGTCTGGGAGAAAAAAATGGCTTGATAATCACACCCAGCATATTTAACAAAAGCGATTCTCCTTTTATTAATGAACAAGTTTAAGCAGAATGATTTCATTTTTTTTCCCCATTTGGGCAATTCAGACTAGCGGGATCCTGAGCTTGCAGCTTTTGTTTCTCCCCCTGCTGCCTTTTATACCTTTAATGTATGCATGCCTATCCACTGATGGGAAAATATCATTTCCCGAAACGCTTCCTCTTTCCTTCGTGCCTGTTCTCTCAGTTGATTTTTGGTTCTGGTTAGTTTTCACTGTCAAATCACTTTCTGCACAGGTTAGATAAATCAGAGCCAAGGACATAGTTCAACAGCTTGCTGAAAATTTGAAACTCTCTTTCATTATGGTGAATTTAAATTCAAAGTACTCATTCCTTTAAAAATAAACAACATGACTATCTATTTAAATAAATTTAAAATTCTATAGGATAGAAAGCAGTCCAGAAAATAAAGACAGTACTAGCTATGAAATTGTTTTCACTGCCAAATATAACATCTTAGCAAAATGTTTCCAATCTTAGCTATTTAACAATAGCCTTGCATTAAATTATCAAATTTAGCTCTAGCTACTTAAAACAGCATTAAATGTTAAAGCTCTCTTAAATTAACACAACCAGCTTATAATCTATTTTCTTTTACTTTAGCACACTATGCAGACAAAAGCATTTGTTCTGTAAAATTTAAATGCACATGTCTCAAGATACAAAACTGAATAGTAATGAATCACATTCAAGGAGTTTTTAATTAATTGCTAAACTATTAAAAGAACATTTTATGACACAGCCAAGAACCCATGAATTGTCTTCATGACCAAAATATATAGTTCGGTCATTTACCATGCCAAGTAATAATAGTAATAGTAATGATACATATGTGCAATTGCTAAGTAGGTAAATTTTTACTATATGCTTTTGTTTTAACCTACAGCACAAGACTACTGCATGAAAACTTTTAAAATTACATGATTTTCTTTATCTCTCAAATTAAGAAAATATAAGAAAAACAGTAAAGCAACATACCCCAAATATGTTACTCAAAGTGAACCCCAGAAGTTGTTTATAAACTGCTCTTATTATTTTTTAAATGCTACTTAAGAAAGACTCAGTTTTCATTAATTCTAAAGCTTGTGAAATATTTGCCCAAACGCTTTAACCTAGATTTTTTTTTAAACGAAGTGCTTAGCCTAACTTCTGTTACACTGACTACTTTATAGATTTTTTTTAAGCTCTTCATTTGAAAATGCCCCTTTGTCCTGCATCTAAACATATGACATTTCTGCCCCTAAAAAAAAAAAAAAAAAAAAAAAAAAAAAAATATGTAGAGGAATTGAGTAACAAGTATATTCAACAGAGGTTTTATTCCATTCCTCCTCACATTTGTCTGTGTCTTTAAAAATAATTTTTAAAAATAGCAACCAAATTTTTCCCCCCTTAGGACTT